ACGACCATCGACACCTTGCACAAGGAGGGCAAGACACAAAAGGTCATCGCTAAAGAGGCTGGCTGTTCACAGAGCTCAGTGTCCAAGCACATTAATAGAGAGGCGAAGGGAAGGAAAAGATGTGGTCGAAAAAAGTGTACAAGCAAGAGAGATAACCGCACCCTGGAGAGGATTGTGAAACAAAACCCATTCAAAAATGTGGGGGAGATTCACAAAGAGTGGACTGCAGCTGGAGTGAGTGCTTCAAGAACCACCACACACAGACGTATGAAAGACATGGGTTTCTGCTGTCGCATTCCTTGTGTCAAGCCACTCTTGAACCACAGACAGCGTCAGAAGCGTCTTGCCTGGGCTAAAGAGAAACAGGACTGGACTGCTGGTGAGTGGTCCAAAGTCATGTTCTCTGATGAAAGTAAATTTTGCATTTCCTTTGGAAATCAAGGTCCCAGAGTCTGGAGGAAAAGAAGAGAGGCACTTCATCCACGTTGCTTGAAGTCCAGTGTAAAGTTTCCACAGTCAGTGATGGTTTGGGGTGCCATGTCATCTGCTGGTGTTGGTCCATTGTGTTTTCTGAGGTCCAGGGTCAACGCAGCCACATACCAGGAAGTTTTAGAGCACTTCATGCTTCCTGCAGCTGACCAACTTTTTGGAGATGCAGATTTCATTTTCCAACAGGACTTGGCACCTGCACACAGTGCCAAAGCTACCAGTACCTGGTTGAAGGACCATGGTATCCCTGTTCTTAATTGGCCAGCAAACTCTCCTGACCTTAACCCCATAGAAAATCTATGGGGTATTGTGAAGAAGAAGATGCAATACACCAGACCCAACAATTCAGAAGAGCTAAAAGCCACTATTAGAGCAACCTGGGCTATCATAACACCTGAGCAGTGCCACAGACTGATCGACTCCATGCCACGCCGCATTGCTGCAGTAATACAGGCCAAAGGAGGCCCAACTAAATACTGAGTGCTGTACATGCTCATACTTTTCATGTTCATACTTTTCAGTTGGCCAACATTTCTATAAATCCTTTGTTTTTATTGGTCTTCAGTAATATTCTAATTTTCTGATATGATGAATTTGAGATTTTCATTTGTTGTCATTTGTAATCATCAAAATTAAACAAAATAAACATCTGAAATATATGAGTTTGTATGTAATGTATGAATATAATATACAAGTTTCACTTTTTAAATGGAATTACTGAAATCAATCTACTTTTTCATGATATTCTAATTTTATGACCAGCACCTGTATATATATATTCAGAGAAGCTTTTTGTCAAGCATATTGGAATAAACCATTTCCATAGTCATATTAATTAAATATATTAGCTGCATGTATTTGAAGGCACATGTAGCTTTGGTAGTTCCAAAAAAAAAGATTTTAAGCTGAAATGAAACAAGAAAAAATGTCTCACTGATCTTAGACTGGATAGACCACAAAAAGTTTTTATAGTCAAAAAGTGATGTAGATAATGACTTCCCAAACTTTACACACTAGTTTATCATGAACAAAAATAATAATAATTAATAAAAAAAAAACTTTCAACACTTATATTTAATTATAAATAAAAGGTAAGTAATTTTAAAGCCTCTTTTTTTCTCTCTTTTTTCTAAATCAAACATCAAAGTCAACTCTTGGTTTTAAAAGTTTGCTCCAAGTAAAACCATATTGTAATTCACACTCTGACCTCATGGTGGCAGTGTTATCTTACTTTTACAGAAGATGTTCCCTCCAGCGGGTAAACCAGATTTAAAACCATGATGATAAAATGGTTTAATTTCACATAATATTTAAAAAAAAACAACTACAAGGATTCCTCCAAAAAGAAATAAACATAAACTAACCTTAACACAAAATTATGTTTTAAAAAAGTTTGATGTTTCTGCAAATAGTTTAAATAAGATGTTGTTTTATAACAAATATCTGTTTTCGAATTTGATGAATCTCGGATTCAGGAGGAGCAGCGTGCTTTTTGTCCTGGCTGTGGAACACTGGATCAGCTCTACATCTTCAGGTTCCTGGAGGGTCCATGGGAATTTTCCCAACCAGTCTACATGTGTTTTGTGGATCTGGAGAAGGCATTGGACTGTGTCCCTCGGGAAGTCCTGTGGGGGGGGGGGGTACTCCAGGAGTATGGAGTTGTAGTGAAGAGAGCTGAGCCAAAAGGCAAAGCTCTCAATTTACCCGTCGATCTATGTTCCTACCCTCATCTATGGTCATGAGCTTTGGGTCATGAACAAAAGAATAAGATCCCGGATACAAGCGGCTGAAATTCTCAGTGAGTTTTCTCCATATTGTGTCCTCACCCTATCTCCCTTAGAGATAGGGTGAGGAGCTCAGTCATTCGATGAGGACTCAGAATAGAGCCGCTGCTCCTCCACATCGAGAGGACCCAGTTGAGGTGGCTTGGGCATCTGGTTAGGATTGCTCCTGGACGCCTCCCTCGGGAGGTGTTCCAGGCACGTCCCACCGGGAGGAGGCCCAGGGGGAGACCCAGGACACGCTGGAGGGACTATGTTTCTCAGCTGGCCTGGGAGCGCCTTGGGATTACCCCGGAGGAGCTGGACCAAGTGGCTGGAGAGAGGGACGTCTGGGCCTCCCTACTGAAGCTGCTACCCCTTCGACTAGACCCTGGATAAGAGGAGGAAGATGGATGGAATTTGATTTTGTTGTTTTTTCCTAAAGGTGTTTTTTGTCACCAACTTTAATGACAGATTAAGTATAGATTAATTGAATGAAGGCTGAATATTTTTTTTTTTTTAGTTTAACGAATTATTTTGTGGTGAACGGCTCACAAATACTTTTGCCTTCAACTGTTTAATGTTGGATATACGAGAATTTCTAACTGTGCTTAAATACTTTTACTTTCAGTCAATCTATATTTGAAATGCGTCCTATTCCGACAGTGGCAGAAAAGCCACTTAGAAACCTGACTGCTAAAACAACATTAAAAGCCAGATTACAGTTTTGATATGCATTCGCGTTTAAAGACCTTGACATTTCAAAGCATGTCTGTGGTTTGATATAATGAACCTTGCAGTGATAAGTCATGATGATCAGTGTTATATTAAAAAATGGGGGGAACTTTGCTAGTCCCAACTGTAGAATTGGGTGGAAGCAGCGTCGTTATGTGAGGGTGTTTTGCAGCTTTTCACCAAACATTTTGCATCACAAGTACAGACGATTATGAAATCCTAAAGCAGCATATTAAGATTCCTTGTAGGAAGTTAATGGTTGGGTCCAAATGTGTCCTACAAATGAACAGTGGTGGAATTTCACAAAGTACATTTACTTGATTACTGTCCTTAAGTTCTTTTTTTGAGTATCTTTAATTGAGCAATTTTTTCGTGGGTACTTATTACTTTCTACTCCACTACATTTCTAGGAAGCTGTTAGGTCCTTATTCCTTATGGCTCAGCTCAGCTTTGTAATCCACTGTTGCCTTTTTTACTTTCTTGGAATTTAATTTCAACATGGCAGACAGCGGCCCTTAGGACTGAATCTGGACACCACTGTTTTTTTGAGATGTGGATGAAATTCTACAAATGTGAGGGTCAGATATTATTAGTAGTTAATCATTTTATTAAGGCGTTAGTTGTTGTCATGTGGCCAAGTTGTTCAGTAGGATGAGTCTTAAGGCAGAGTTGGAGATTCTTTGTGGTAACAGATTTAACTGTAATCCACTTTTCATAGTGAAAGTGTGAGGACTTTTCAAAACAAGGATATAAAGACTGCACTTCAAACATCTACATTTTATGTGTTGTTGTTTTTTTATGGATATGACTAGATCTCTGTGTGTTATGTTGCAAAATAATTTGTAAATAATAGAAATGATTATTGGACAATAGAGCATCTAATCCCCTTTTAATCCCAGGATTAAAGGACTAATGTCTCAGCATGATCTGGAAAAACTAATCCATGCGTTTATTTTTAGTCGAATTGATTACTGCAACGGTGTTTTCACAGGTCTGCCTAAAAAGTGGATCAGACAGCTGCAGCTGGTCCAGAACGCTGCTGCCCGTGTCCTCACTAAGACTAAGAAAGTAGAGCACATCACCCCGGTTCTAAAGTCCTTCCTCTGGCTCCCTGTATCTCAGAGAATAGACTTTAAAATACTTCTGTTAGTCTATAAATCTCTGAATGGCTTAGCACCTAAATACATCACAGACTTGCTATCAGTGTATCAACCCTCCAGACCACTCAGGTCTTCTGGCTCCAGCCTGCTCTGCAGACCTAGAACCAGAACTAAACATGGAGAAGCAGCATTTAGTTCCTATGCTCCACTTATCTGGAACAAACTTCCAAAAAACTGGAAAAGTGTGGAAAGCCTGAGTTCCTTTAAATCAAGACTAAAAAAACATTTGTTTAGGATTGCCTGCCACTGTTCTAGTTAAACAGTTCAACTAAAAAATATTTTCTTTAGTCCAACTGTTTTTAATATTTTTTTTTTGTTTCTGCATTTTTTATTTTATTTTTTCCTACTTGCTTTGATTCTGTTTTATCTTCCTGTATTTTAATCATGTAAAGCACTTTGCATTGTCTTTGTACTGAATTGTGCTATACAAATAAATTTGCCTTGCCTTGCCTTGCCTTTAAATGGATCAGCAACATTTTCCCCTTAGGTTATTGTAACTGAGGTAATAACATTTTGACCAAAGGAGGAGAGATCCAGAGTTATCTCACAGTTTGACTAAAAGTTACACTACCTACCTCTGTTTTTTTTCTGTGCTATTGCTTTAAATGTGAAACTCAGCATAAATAAACTAGAATATCCTGTAATTCCAGGCTTGATTCCGTATTTTGGTTTTGGGGGAAAACCCCTCAGGGGTTGAGGGCTAAGGAGGGGGTTTTAAAGTTTTAAGAATCAGCTGATACACCATCTTCTGTGATCCCTCATGTATTGTGATTCAAATGTGTTTCATCACTGCTTCCTTCAGGTTTAGGTATTGGTGTCCCTGTGACCTCAGGGTTAATGTCAGTGTGACTTCAGGGTTGGTAGAGAGCAGACAAAACAGGGTGCAACATCAGCTCCTGAGTGTTGGACTTTCCCAGACGATGCATGACGTGTGCCTTTCTGCAGCTTCTGATCAAGACTGAGGTAGTTTTTAAGAGCAGTCCTGACTTAGCATCACTCTTTAGCATGAAACTTTCTAAAAATCCAAAGAACTTCCTTCTCCTCATCCTTCTCGGTTTTCTGCTGCTGCTGGAGACCTTCAGGTGGGTGGAAACGACCAATTTCTAACTGCTTAAAATATTTAAACATACAGAAGGGTTAAACTATGACTGCTGCAAATGTAAGCGAATAAAATGGACAGTAGGTCATTTCTGCAAGCTAACTGTAAATTTAGCTTCTATTGTACTACAAGCTTGTTTGTGGGGATTACTCAACAGCCTTGAACCTAGATAGAGAGCATTATAGTAACATAAACAGCTGAGAAGAGCATGGAGTGACTCCAGCACAACCAGAACGGTCCAGACTCACCGTCTCTGTTAAAAGCATTAGATCTAAAAGCCTGAACACTGGCTGCGAATTTTTAATCTCCGATCCAATTTTGTTCCATGTTACACTGACTGCATATAGATAGGCTCCCCCTAGGCATGGTGAGCAGATCTGTGCAGATAATCTTTTTAAACTTTTTTTTACTTCTGTCTCTGTACTTCTGGCTAAATACATTTAAAAATCAGTGGCACATTCTATAAAGCAAAGCCCCACTTCACGAGTCTGCAGCATCTCAAACCAGAACAGATAAAGAATGTTCATATATTAAAAACATAATGAGATCTATGTCTAAAGAAAAGAGAAACAAAGCAATAAACGCTGTGGGAAGGTTTCTATGCTGACTGAGGCAGAGAAGTGACTCTCAGAGACAGATCTGGGAAGTTTATCCCAGTTTTTCTTTCTTTTTTCATAAAGAGGTGAACGAGATACATCAGTTCCTTCTCTGTCTGGCCCTCGTTATTTTCTTTTGTGACTGTTTCCCTGCGCAGATTTTATTTTATATATTTACTTTGGATCCGTGTCTCTTTTCCTCTCAGACCCATGAAATTTCTGCTGCATTGCTGCTGCATTGCTGCGTAGTCTGACTGAAATAGCCCGGAAGTCCCACATAAAGCAGGCAAAGAATGTATACCAAACTTCTCACTACTGTTCTGGGTGCTAATTAAATTTCTGAGGAGCTTCAGCAGCAGTACCGTCATCTCAGATATCAGATTTATAGTCCCCACACTGAAGATATATGGGAATCTGAGCTTAAATGTCATCCAAACCCATTTTCACAGCGACAGATAAAACCTTTCAATAAACCAAACATTACCCACCAAATATATATACTGTATACATTTGGACTTCTTTTGGTCTGTTCCACATAGTAGAAAATGGTTTATCTATCAATATATCAAAAAAGTAAAAAAAAAAAAAGTATATAAAAATATATTTACCAGTAAGAATGTAAGCTGGGAACAAGTATGATTTAAGTAGACTACCTATAGTTTACAACATGTCACCAGTTCTTCAGATGCATAATCTCCTGGCGTACTGGGCCCATGCTAGCAAAAACTATGTCTCAAATAAATGTAGTTAATTTTGTAGCCTATCCCTTAATTATGAGATAGTATCTCATACTAAACTATGTAAACCAGTAATGGAGGTCTAACCAGAGTAGAAAAAGAAGTGGGAGGCTGCGTTGCATAACTGAGCAAGAAGATAAGTACATTAGAGTCTCTAGTTTGAGAAACAGACGCCTCACAGGTCCCCAACTGCCATCTTCATTAAATAGTACCTGCAGTAGCCTGTTTGTGCTCCTCTGAAGGGAGCAGTACACACTGTTGTAGGAAATCTTCAATTTCTTAGCAATTTCTCGCATGGAATAGCCTTCATTTCTAAGAACAAGAATAGACTGTCGAGTTTCAGATGAAAGTTCTCTTTTTCTGGCCATTTTAAGCGTTTAATTGGCCCCACAAATGTGATGCTCCAGAAACACAATCTGCTCAAAGGAAGGTCAGTTTTGTAGCTTCTGTAATGAGCTAAACTGTTTTCGGATGTGTGAACATGATTGCACAAGGGTTTTCTAATCATCAATTAGCCTCTGAGCCAATGAGCAAACACATTGTACCATTAGAACACTGGAGTGATAGTTGCTGGAAATGGGCCTCTATACACCTATGGAGATATTGCACCAAAAACCAGACATTTGCAGCTAGAATAGTCATTTACCACATTAGCAATGTATAGAGTGTATTTCTTTAAAGTTAAGACTAGTTTAAAGTTATCTTCATTGAAAAGTACAGAGCTTTTCCTTCACAAATAAGGACTTTTCGATGTGACCCCAAACTTTTGAACGGTAGTGTATGTCCTAAAGATCAGTGGCTTTCTCATAATCAGAGGATAATATTAGGAGGAGGAAATTTAACCTGTTAGAACGCCCGGGGGGGGATATGGGTTCAGCCACATTATGCTTTAGTTGTTGACATCTTCTCAGTCATGAGAAAGTGGCTAAAAGCTTGATGACAGAAATTCACACAATATTCAGTTGTTTAATTAATATGCTTTGTTAACATTATATCTTCACCTAGGTAACAGGACCACTGAGAGTAAGTGTGCCTGGTTAACTTTTGTCGTTCTGCAGGTCCCACTGGCCTTTCAGGATCTCTCAGGCACCCAAACAAATCCCACATAATGGAGAACCGTCTGGTGAGCGTGATTTACCTCAGACGACGCCATCACCAAACGGAGGTTTGTTTGATTTATGACTAGTCAGTGTTTTTGCAGCAGCTCTGGTGTCACTCCTGTTGTCAAAACTTATTTGAATAAGCTTGTTTGGGTTTCACTGTTCAGGCTGATGAGTGTATCATTGAATTCTTTCTGTTTTTAAAGGAGAATCAGCATCTTTGCTGAGAGTTAAAGGAACAAAAACCCTGCTGGTATCAGCCTATTTAGAGCATCGCACAGCAGAAAAAGAAGTAAGCACGGTTCTCTCAGTTCCTTGAAGTCATTGAAAGATTATGAATTTGAAAAAGAAAAGATTAAAGCCTGAAAATCATGTTTGTGGATGTCTTTTTATTGAACTTTTAAAGAGAATTGTCCTGAAGAATCCTTGAATCTTTTCTTCTGTTTGCTTTTTTGGGGGGAGGGGAAGTCATTAGAAACTGAACTAAATGGTGACTCATGTAAACATTTCATTATTTCTTGCCTTGTTGCTTTAGGTTTTTTGTGTTTCCTGTGTGTGCTCAGTGTAAACATGTCCTTTACGGCACATTAATGTCATTGCAGTACAATGCAGCTTTCAGGATGTATGGCATGACAAAGTAGGCTATGCTGATTGGTTGTTGAAGGTTTAGTGATCGCACACATCCATGCATTCACTGGCTCATCAGTGCATTCAGCAGCCGTGCCTTGAGCTCACGTAACATGCATGCATTCCTGCTCCCTCCATTTGTCCATCATTGCTAATCCTTTTTCATTTGTTAGTAAATTTTTCTCATTCATCTTGAAATATTTCAATGTTTGTCTCTGCTTCAACTCTGTTGGAAAGCCAAACCCCTGGAAGTTGGACTAAAACATTTCAGTCCATCCCTCTGTGGTTTGTGTCTTGGAGCAAAGAAGCAGCACTGATATTTCTTTTTATGTCCTTTTTATGCACCACTAATGGTTCTTCTTGTAATGCCAGGTTCGTGTCATTGTAATCACGCCTCGGAGCGAGCAGGCGGTCTTTAACTGCCACCTAGACTGCCAAAGACAGCTCTACGTATCCAAAGGTGTCATCAAGCTCAACAAGGACTTCTTTGGCTATCTATACGGGACGGCAGACATCATGTGTCCCCTTCCTCCAGGCTGTGAAACACCAGTTCACGTGGCCATTACCCTGAATGGCTCTAAAGGCGAAGGTACATGATGTGCTAATCATGATGGTTAGGAGCTAATGATGATTTTGAGCTGAGTCACAACATTGATTGGTTTCAGATTTAATCAGTATTGATGTTGAAGCTAATATATTGGGATTTATTCGACTTAATAGCTGAAAAGTGAAAAGTTACCCCAGAACTGAATGTGTTAAACTTGAGGCCTGTGCTCTGTTCTGTAGCTTCAAAGTAGAGAGCAGTCTATCTTTATTTACTGTATGAGTTGCAAAATAGTTTAAACACATTTATAAGTGAGAAAGTTGACCTCCAAGCATCGTCTGTTCATCAGTTCAATAGGATTACGATCCCACTAGAATATGCAGGTCTTGTTCTGAGCGCCAGACCAGCATACAGCCAGGAGGCAGCGCTGGAAAACCCCGCTGAAAGCTCTCTGCTGCAGCCAGCCTGTGGGGGGTTTCCTGCTGCCGTTTGTTGCGGCTGGATGTGAATAGAAAGAGTTTTTAAAGTTTGTGGTAAAAACTTCAATTCAGTTGTTTATTTGATGCAGTGAAGTTTTGTTCATGTTGCTTTTGTTGCAGGACCAAACAAATACCACATGAACAGTCCACCGTCTGTTCAATCTTCAATCTTCAGATATTCTAACTCTGATGGTTTGTTGTCATTAAGATTAGAGTTAGTTAAAAACTTATAATTTGTAATACTTTTCAAACTCCTCATATCAGTGGTTTAATTTTGTCAACCAATTCCAACAACAACAAATTGTAGGAGGATGTTCCCTCTGGAGATAAATTTTAAATTTTCTTGAATAATATTGGTATTTTTTATTTGCAACACCTTCACCAGTTTATTGCATTCAGCCATGCCTTAAGATCACTTGCATGTCTATTCCTCCATTTACTATGTTTGTAATAATTTCATTGATTTCTTAATAACTACTTCTTTTTTATGTGAATGAAAAAGAAACATCTTAGTACTATTTTTTAAGAAATAAAGGGGCAAAAATTGGTTACAAAGTCAAGACAATGACTTCCACAGTTGAAAACAACTACTTGTTGAATTAATCAAGACTATGACGGACCGATGTAGCCTAAAAGCCAACGTCTAAATGATGTCTGGTGTTTTGGAGATGTTCCTCTTTCAAACAACATTTATTAATCTATTTCAGGGAGAACGGATAGTCTTTAACAATGTTCTGTCTGTTGTGGCCAAACAAAGGACCCCACAGTTTTCTTCTGTTTTCACACTCAGAAGGATAGTTGATGTTTAAATAACCTTGAACTAAAGGAGTCTAGCTCCTTATCAAAACATTTAACTTCGTAAAACTGCTTCAGAGGGAGCAGTAATATAAGACTGACATGAAGCCTTGTAAAGCAGGCTTACCTCTTTATTTTCAAAAACAGGCCAAGCTCTAACATCTATAAACGAAGGCACAGCTGATATTTCTCTCCAGGATGGAGTCACAGCCAAACAGGAACAGACCAGATGAAGCTACTATGAGAAAAAGCAGAGAGAGCAGAACGTTAGAGATTGAACTAACAGATTCTGCAGAGTGGGAGAATAGAGATAGAATGAAGCAGAATGATGAAAAAGGGGTCCCTATGTCCTCCAGCAGTCTAAGCCTATAGCAGCAGAACTATAGAGATAGCTCAGGATAACCTGAGCCACCCTAACTATAAGCTTTATCAAAAAGGAAAGTTTTAAGCCTAGCCTTAAAAGTAGACAGGGTGTCTGCCTCATGGACTAAAACTGGTAGTTGGTTCCACAGGAGAGGAGCCTGATAACTAAAAGATCTGCCTCCCATTCTACTTTTAGAAATTCTAGGAACCACTAGTAAACCTGCAGATTGAGAGCGAAGTGCTCTGTTAGGAACATCAGGAACAATCAGATCTCTGATATCAGATGGAGCTTGGCCATTTAAGGCTTTATATGTGAGAAGGAGGATTTTAAATTCTATTCTGGATTTAACAGGAAGCCAATGAAGAGAAGCCAGGATAGGAGAGATATGATCTCTCTTTTTCATTTTCATCAGAACTCTGGCTGCAGCATTTTGGATCAGCTGAAGGCTTTTAACTACAGTTTGTGGACTTCCTGATAGCAAAGAATTACAATAGTCCAGCCTTGAAGTAACAAATGCATGGACTAGTTTCTCAGCATCACCCCTGGACAGGAGATTGCTCATTTTTGCAATGTTCCTCAGATGAAAGAAGGAAATTCTAGAAACCTCTTTGATATGGGATTTAAATGACAGGTCCTGATGAAAAATAACACCAAGATTTTTTACTTTATTATCTGAAATCAGTTTAATCCCATCCAAATGAAGTGACTGACTAATCAGCTTCTTTTTCAGAGACTCTGGTCCAAACACTATAAATTCTTTTTTGTCTGCATTCAGAAGCAGAAAGTTACCGTAAGAGTCATCCAGGTTTTTATGTCTTCAGACATGCCTGTAATCCAAGTATTAATCTATGTTAGCTTCATCTGGATTATAGACAGATATAGATTGGTGTCATCAGCCCTCTAATTTTCTCAAACACTAAGTTTTGTGTCTTTATTATCTTTAAGCACATAAAGATACAAATACATTTATTTATCCCAAACAAGGATGTTCAGTTTGCATCTAAAGAAATATGAATTTCTTCTGCAAAATTGCAAATAAAAATTTACTTCTATTTGTGAGGCCTTACTTTTCATGCTTCATCAGAATGATGGTACCCTTAGAAGACTCATTAAAGGAGGGGTACCAACAATTTCTTCAACATGTGTATATACTCAATTGTGACACCATTCTTGGCTGATGTTAACATACATGTGTATTTGTATAGTTTTAAAATGAATCCTGTATATTAGTGAAATATTATTCTTCAAATTTGCCTTTTGTTTCTTCTTTTATTTTTAGATCATGACTTTCTGGAGGTTAAAAACCAAAAGGCAGAAACCGAATTCTTACCTTACAACTTCACAGTGTGTTTTCCTGTCATGTTTGAGTTCACAAATGTCCTGCAGGTGAGATTAAAATTAAGTGTTTTTACGAAACTAAAAAGCTCATTTAAAAACATCATAAATATTAATAATTGCTGATGTGAGGAAACACATTTCCTTCTGGATGTCATTAGCTCATTGTGTAGCTTTTGCAGCTTAGTTGTTGTGAAATGGCTTAAAACATTATAAAACAATGAATTTATCATGGGAAAAGTAAATGTATTGAAATAAATAAAGAATTAAAAAATAAGGGCATAGCTGCAAAAATGTCAATAGAATATTTAGGTAAATATGAAATGTTTTCAATGGTAGAAAATACATTTGCTTTGAGTGTTTTGTTACATTTTTTACAGATTCTACTTTTTTAACCCCAAAGTACAAAATCTGAGAACCTAGAAACTAAAATCCTCTTGACCCTTCATCTCTTTTAGAGAGTAGAACCTGAAAGCCTCCCATGTGTTGCAGCTGGTGCAGAGTTTGGAGATGCTTCAGTTACTTGGAGTGAATAAAGTTGTCATCTACAAGACCAGCTGCAGCCTGGAGATTCACCGTGTGCTGGACTACTACACAAGCACAGGTTCAGTATATAGATTTTTTGTTTGCATTAACAGCCTGATTTCAATTCAATGTATTCTAACTCCCAAATAGTTGCTCAGACCAAAACAGTCTTTTAAGTTTCCAAAATGGGTGGTTGAAAGAACATACATGCAGTGTATCACTAAATGCAACCCTCACTTTTCTGCAGATAATTAAGAATTTCTCTTCATGGGACAACACTGCGGAAATGTTATTTTGAATCTATAAAACACGGTCTGTGAGTAGCTTATATACTGTAACAATGTAAATTTATAGTTCACTTATCATACACAATATGCAGCCATCAGAGGTAGTTAAAGTTTTATTGTTCACTACTCCAGTAGAAGTATAAATCCTGCTGTTTAAAAACACTTTTGTAGAAGTTAAAAGATCAACTTAAGCTTTTTACTACAGTAACATTTTAGAAGTACTGTTTTTAAAACTAGTAAAAATAAAAAATTAGAAGTAATGTAGAAAAAATGTTAAGGACAGAAGCTTTACTGTAATTATTTCTGGATGATCTTTTCCTTAGACTTTATTTTCTTAGTTTTATAACTTATGGTAACAATGTTAAATTTAACTTTGCAACACCTTGAAGAAAGTATTTATTTTGGTATGTGATGAAAAACAAGTTGGGGCAGCACCGTGTCATACCACAAAGAAATTAATTGTCTAGATGAAACAAATTATAAGGAAAAGAAAAAATTTTTTTTTGAAATATAAGGAGTAGAAAGTAGAGATAATTGCAAAAAACTGTAAGGAGTAGAAGTGAAAAGTTGTTCAAACAATAGTTACTCCAGTAAAGTATAGATAGCCAACATTTCTACTAAAGTAAGGTAATAAAGTATTTGTACTTTGTTACTTGACACCTCTGACTACACCCCTAAATGTCCAAATTAAGCATTGATAGTGATTTGTCCTCTAAAATGTCATGTGACTTGTTAGGTCTCAAGTGTTCAGAAGAAGCAGGTGTGTTCGATTTTGTTGTTCAGCTCTCTCTCTCTCCCATACTGATCATGACTGCTCAGGAACTGCTAGAGTACCACTACCCGGCGTTGTCCCTAGTCTGGGCCTGTCTAAGCTGTTTGCTTCTAGGCATGGTCTAATTCTTGGATGCTCAACAACCCAAGGAGCTAGCTCTTTCCTCCACAGCTAAAAAAAATACACTTATTACACACGTCATTATCGTTGCAGAGGAAAACTACATCTTTCTCAGAGAGTAGGAGATCTGTAATTGAATCTATATAAACAGCAGCGGTCAATTTTCTGCTAACAGTGTTTTTCTGTATTGAGGTTGAAATGACATTTTGTTTTTGGGTTTTGTCTCTTCAGGTTTCGTTGAGGTGGTTCCTTGGTCTCTGTCAAAGTATCTGAATGTATCTCGAGGTTTTATGTCTCATAAGGATCCAGGTGATATCCACTACTTTGGTCAGATGCCTGCTCTTAGTGACTGCCTCTACAGATACATGTACCAGTCAAGATATATGGCCTTCCAGGACCCAGATGAGCTCATCTTGCCCCAGTCTGTCAACAGGTAGATTATACAGTTTTTTACAGAGATGTGAAATTAATTGTGATGCATTTATACTGCCTGAAATATACAGTTAGCTTCCATGAACAACATTCGTAGCTGTAAAGTCTCCCCTTTTGGCTGGGAAACTGCTGTATTTTCCCCCTCTTTTCTGTTGTCCTCCTATATTAACAATCTCCCGTAAATCTCCTGTATAGTGTATAATAAAATGATATATAAAAGAAAATATTGATCTGCCTCTCTAAATGGAGCTATCTGGTCATCTTATTATAATTTGCAGTTGTTTGAGAAGTTATTTTAAATTTCTTGTGCATATGTTATAAAATATTATAGCTACTACAGCTCGCCTGGGGTGGTCGGACGGTTTGCAGCGGATATTCTAAAATTTCCTGTATTAATAAATCCAACACTTGATAGATATAACATCAATATTAAAATGCATTTGTTACTTTATTAATCTTTTTCTATATTTCACTCAAGTTTTTCACAAAAGCAAAAACAGCAGAAATTTAAAAGGCTTCAAACATTTTCTGTGGAGTTTTCATGTAAATGCTGTCATTTTTTTTTTTCCCAGCTGGTTGAAGTTGTTGCCTGTGCTGGAGAAGAGATATGGTGCTAACAAGTGTTACATGTTTGAGAACAACGTGTTTCCCAGAGAGAGATCGCTGCCTCCTCCCAAGCCCCAAGTTTTGCCCAAACAGAACCAGTGGCAGAATGTAGCAGGGGTAAACATCCTAGCTCACCTGTACAAAGAACCTATCATGCCTCAGTTTAAATGGGCCAAGTTTAAAATCATCGTCAACCCCAGAGCTGTGTTTACAATCACCGTCCACGGAGTGGTAAAATCCCAAATGGGTTGTGCCTGGATCGACAGAAACATAGCGAGGATGTACCACACAAGGTAGGTCAACAGCTCTGTAACTAAAAACACTGATGATGTCACACATAGATGAAACCAGAGGTCACATAAAATGATGTAACCTTCTATAAATCACACTAGATTAAAAGTTATTTTTCTGTTGAACAAAAAAATAACAGAAGAGAGGTACAGTTTTTGTAGACCTTTTATTGAAACACCCTACAATGTAATTAAACACTGTCCATATTTGCTAAAAAGCCTGCGCAAAATTAAGTAGTCTAGAATAAAATCTGCACAGCAGTGTTGATCCCCAAAGAGGAAGATTCCAAAGAAAACAGTCATTTTGCTGTGGTAGGAAAGATCTCCTTTAGTTTTTTGGTGAAGCGGCTGGCGGTTTCTTCCACAGCAACGGTGTGTGTTGTGATTAAGCCTGGCAAATCTCTACTGCTATTTGCCCTGCAAACTGGTAATGGAGACACTGGTGAGGCATTTCATTCCAGTCACAATAAGACACCTTGACATAGATCACTACAGTTATTTTGGGTTTAGGGTCCCGGTAGAGGGGATACTACAGATTGGATTTAGGAATCATTACAGGCTGCACCACCTCAGTCATCCTTCTTGCCCTGGCTATGGACATGTTTGTAAAATCTCCAGAGACAGAATGCTGTGGTCCCAAGTCCAAGTCTGGAGTTACACAACCACTAATCCGGGCCTTATGAATGACCTAACATTAAGCAGTGAGTTGGTCCCTGGAGGCAGATGGATCCTGGTAGGCCTGGAGAAGCTCATGAGGTGAATGTCTTTCAAGCTATCAAAATCTAGTTCTTTGGAAAAAGGGTAAAGCGACAGACAGGTTCTGCTTTGCTATCCCCCGGGAACAACCATTCCTATCCAAGAAGCCAGTTAAGAGCTTTGGGAAGTCCTTTGACTGATAGTAGCGCATCAATAACTCTTATGAAGACCTGGAGGGATGGCTTAAGGAGGTTGAAAGGACAGGTCTACGATGGAAAGTCAAGGCATTGTTGTAGCAGCATGTTTTGTCAACGAAAACTCTTGCAAATTTGTACTACCTCGGAAGTCTTTTCAGGAGGAGATTACAGTTTTGCAGTTAAAGGACGTACTGCAATGTTTGGTGTCTGCGGATCCTTAGGTCTCTGAAGCAGCAGAGTATGCAGTACTGGTAGGAACAGGGACAATGGGATGGGCAGAACTAGGAAAGGAACTGTCACACCACCTAATTTTGACAAGGTTTGGGGAAAACAACAAAGACACATTTTTCAGATTGAATCAAAGAATTGGATGTGGAGAGAGTTTGTTGACCAGCGGGGATGGGACAGCAAGGACCTGGATGGGGGAAAGATGAGAAAGTGGAAGAACTTATGGCATGACCACTTGTGGACAGAACCACAACACATTAGATCTCAGTCCAGGCTGTAGATGAGGACCTACCTAGCCATTCCAACCAGCACTGCTGAGGCTTGGCTAACAAACCAGCATACCCCTTGTTTCAGGAAAAGTTAACCCTTAAGTACATATCAAAATGCTGCAAAAAAGCTCTGGGAGAAGGCAAAGATCGGTAGCTTCACAACAAGGTGCTTAAGACGATTGCAGAGAGCATCTGTAGCTCCATTGCCAGTTGTCATACGACAAAACAAGAAAAGCAAGCCATGACCTTCATCTTTGTCGGAGAAAAACCAAAGAAAACAAAAATCAAAATGTTTTTTTTTTAACACTGCATAGGGTAGGCTGCTTTCAGCAGATTTGCTCAAACCTGGTTTCCCCAGCGTGTTGCTAGCACCACCCTTAGACCTGGCAGTAGTCTAGAATGAGTGGCAACAAAGTTTATGGTCATTCTTGAACTCTTGAAGGAAGCCTCAGAAAGAAATAGGGATAAATAAAACCACCTTGTCAGAGACTGCCACAGAAGGGCTGTAGGTGAAGGTTCCTGCATATGGAGGTAGAGTGGAGAGACTGCATGTTAGTCTGTGAGTAGAGCTTACAAAGCACTCAGCATTACAGGGTAAAGGAGGAGGAAGGCCATCTACAGCAGCACAGCAGAGAAAGTAGGCTATAGGTTGAAAGGACCTGTGGACAAGGGCTGAGATTGACCTCAGCTAGCTGTCCTGAGTGAGGGTTTATGATGTTCTAACCAACCTAATTACCTCAGGATAATCCACAAACATTTCTGCTTTATGATCGAAAATATTCCTTTTCAAACAAGAGCCATTGTGTCTGCTTGCGATTAGCTCCTTTGTCTATAAAAACACAGCTAAACACGGTTAAATACACACATCTGCAATCTGTCCTTCCCTTTGCTTTTCTCTCAGGAATAGTCACCATATTAAAAATCAATTATGTAAACGCTCTGCTAAGGTGAATCAATTAATTAAAAAAAAGTTCTAAATTTAGGGTGACCATATTTTCATTTGGGAAAACCAGGACACCTTGGAGGGGTGGGGGGGGTTGATTGAAAGAACAAATGTCTCATCATCGGGATTTGCTCCGTGATCAGAGGAAATGTTATTTGGCGCAGAACAGTGGTGAAAATTGGAACTTCAGTTTAATATAATCCAGTCAGTGAATAGTTTAGTCTGAAATGAATGAAAATAGTTGTTTTAATGGTTATAGAGTCAGATATGTGGCGGTAATGTTTGATTTATCTAAAGGTTTTTATCTATTACTGTGTAAATTAATTTGGCTGGAATTTAAGGACAGATTCTAATAGATCTACAGAGTGGGAACTATAAATCTGATAGGAGTTTAATTTTTTTATTGTTGTTTTGCACAATATGCTTAACTAAGTATTTTTTGTTGTTGAATATTAGAGATTTTGCAGATATATTTTGTAGATACATTGTTTAGATTTACTTATATATTTCTAACCCTTTTATAGAATAGAATAGAAAATCCCTTTATTGTCCCACAATGGGCAGATTTACAGCAGCAGAAAGATTATTGAAAATTGTCACACAAATGTGGACCTTAGAAAAATGTAAAAGAACAACATAATAGGGAAGAGTTAAAATATAAAAAATACAATACTGTTAAGTGTTTTAACAATATAAAACTGGAGAATAAATAACCAATATGCAGCTATGGACATTTTTACAGTAATGGATATTTGAAAATAGCAGCAACATCAGAGGTGTGCAGAATGACAGCAGCAGGTTATTTAACTGACTAAGGTTTCTATCATTACATTTGATTTTATTAGTTCCTGCTCCCGGTGGTTGGAACCTTTATTCCACTCTGGATTCTTGTGAGTGTAGTCTTTGTTCACTTTAACTTTTTTAAAAATAAATAAACAAACAGTTTTGAAAACCTTGGTATTCATTCTTTTCCTGCTTTGTGTGTCAACTTTCACGGTTGCTAAGCAACAGAGCATACGGCGGTAAAACCCGCCAAAGGGTAGACCTGTTCGAATTTACAGCCAAAACTCTTCCGGCCTCCTTATTTTCAAGGACTTGGAAGGATCCAGTCTAGGTAGACCGCGTCCTTGGAGGATGCAGCCCAGGTTTTCGAACAGAGCCTCTGATTAAGAACAGGGCTGCCCGCACTGACGCGGCTCAGGGATTACGTCACACGGAGCGTCGTGCGCAGTGAAATCAGGACATTTCCTCACTTTCTAAAAAAAACCCGGGACGCCCGGGGCAGGACGTGAAATACGGATATGTCCCGGGAAATACGGACGTTTGGTCACCCTATCTAAATTAAATTTAATTTGCAGTGATGAATTAATATGAGTTAATTCCACTTTTTCTTATTAGTAAAAGACCATTTAACCTCATTCCATTTTCTTCAAGATAAACTTTGGTTCTCAAACGTCAAAATCATGCTTAACTGCAATAATACTACTTTAGCCTATTCATAATAGTTATCAATGTTTTTGATTTTTACTAATTTGGTTCAGTTTTTAAACAGAAGTATGATTGACCTGGAGTGAATTACTTTTGCTAATAAATTCTTATATTTTCTTTTGATGCTGTGAATTTATTCAATATATTTTCTGAGTTAAACTATGATTTGAGCTTAAAAAACACTTTAATTTTTTGCCTTAGCACACAGCTAGTTGGGTGTAAGTCATAGGAAAGTGTGTGAAAGTTCCAAAGTTATTTAAATAAATGAATATTAAAAAGGCATGAATGCATACAAATGCACAACACAGTGTATGTAAGTATCAGGTTTCATCTACAGATTAGAGCGCTTTGCCAAGGAATAACATTTGCATTTTTTTTCTGCAGGTCTGAAATGCAAACCAAGCTTAGAGATGACCAGCTAATTTACGACGGCCGACTGCTGAACTACAGCACAGATCTCTCAGCAGCTGTTAACACCGTGTTGAAAGAGAGCCGACTCCTATCTGGCACAAAGTGATGAATGAAAGTCATTGGATGTGCTCTGGTGCTAATGCTAATACTGACTTGAAAGCTTTGCTTTACATAAAAAAATACTTTTTGATAAAAATAAACATGAAAACATGTTGCTGTTTTTATTCAATTGCCACCTACCATGGAGTAAATGCAAAAAAAACTTTCTTTTCATATAGTTTTCACTGTAGGGGTGGAGGTTTGACAGGAGGGCCCAAATGCAGACTAAAACTGAAGGAGGTTACTTGAAGATTTATTCTACAAAAAAGTTCAACAGAAGCAAAAATGCAAAAACATAAATCTACAAAAGCATAACCATTAGTACTCACAACAAGGGGCAAAGAAATGAAGACAAACGAAAAAGATGCATATATGGGAGAGAGAAACAAAGACCAGGCTAATCAGCAGATTGGGAGCAGGTGTGGACTGAGGAATCTAGAAGGGAGCTACTGTAGGGAAAGGGAGGCTGACACAGAAGGCAAACAAGAAATACCTAAGAACTCAAATACTATCAAAAGTAACCCAAATAACACACAATGGAATTAAAACCAATGAAACCTCAAAGATAAAACTTAAACAGAACCACAACCATGAAAAAAGTCTTTTTTTAATCAAGAAAGCTTCCACCAGTAGCTTCTGTTAATGGTAATCTTTTCATGTTGGCTGAAGCCTCAATATAATACCCCATGAAGTTCTTTCCAAATTAGCACTGAATTAAACGGTTCAGTTAGGAAAGGAAACAATGACTTTCTCATTTTGCTAAGCTAGCATCAAGTTGGAAATGCCAAAAAGATTAAATGTGGGTTTAGAAAATCGTCCAGCTTTTGCAGCTCAGAGTAAAGAGTAGAAACTCCTCCAAACCAGATTTAATAGAAAAAAAGGAAGGGACAAGATGAAGGCAGGGATAACCAACCTGGTTTAAAAAAATGAAATGAATAAACATCTCTTTGTATTTTTCTCTTAGAAAATAAACGTTTTTACAGAGACAAAAATTATATTTTCAAAATTATGTTAATCAGCCTTTAGTGGTTCTTTTGAAGGTAAGTTAGATGTGAACCCGTTAACTGTCACTTCCTGTCTGCGGGACGTATGTGGTGCCTCCTAGATCAGATCCGATTCAGGACCACATAGCCTGGGTCAAATTTTAAAAACATATCTGTGTTGTTCAGACTGTCATGAAAAGATCAGATACAGGACGCATGTAGGTAAAAAAAATGCTATGGATTTAACCTCATTCCAATTTCTTTAAGATAAACTTTGGTTCTCAAACATCAAATTCATACTTAACTTTGTTTAAAAAAATGTCACTTCAGCTTTGAATGTAACATTTGAATGTAGTGTCTCTGCCTCAATACACCTGAAACCAACAATCAGGTCATACGCATGACTCTGGAACACCTGTCTGCAAGCTGAGGAGGTAATTCAGCTATTTGATCCAGGTGTGGAAGCAGAGAAACCTCTACAAGGTACTGGACATTGGGCCCTGAGGAATTGAGGAACCCTAGTGTAGGCTGTGGTTGATCATGGTTCAAGCCTCATGTCCACAATACTTGCAGTAGAATGAAGTCCTGTTTGTCCAAGTTTTTGCTGCATTTACACTATCACCTGTCTCTGCTCTTCCTTCAGATAGATAGATAGATAGATAGATAGATAGATAGATAGATAGATAGATAGATAGATAGATAGATAGATAGATGGCAAATGTTTGATTTCTAATGAATTCTGCGAATATCTTCCATTACACTACACAAACAATCTACAAATAAGTCAACATTTACTAAATTAAGTGTATTTACCCTGAAGTTAAGTAGGTAAATAAAATAATTTGCCAATGGAACGAGTATTTTTACTCTTCAATTACGATAATTAGATAATATGCACTTGAAATAAGACAGTACAATTGTTTCCCCCCCTTATTTTAAACATACATTTTCTTTTTCCATTGGCATTGGTGTCTCACCTACCTCCTCAATTCAAGAAAAAATTAACTTATTTTAAGGAAATTAAAAACAAACCACTAGACTTTGTTTCCAAGTTTGAAGACGTCTCACCATTCAGGGAGCTTTATTATTATTCAAAATGAAATGAAGGTAAAACCAAGCTTAAACAGAGGGGGGGAACTCTGGTTTCAGCTTTCAGAACCTACAATGCAGCGATTGAATTAATCCCTTCCCGCTATCATCACAGCCCCAGCTCTTGTATACAGCAGAGCAGAGGAGCTCACCTTTCAGCCAGGCCAATAATCCACTTTAACGACCCCCTTTCAGACATGGGTATGGGGCATTGTAGGCTAACAAGAGAGGCCAAACTACCCCCGTTCCAAAGGGGTGAACCCCTTCGTTCTAATTTGCATGTTTTCAAACAAAAATAAGGTTTTGTTGGGCTATTGCATGAAACCTAAAACTGAACGCTATTCCGGGCATTTTGAATTGAAAAAGCTTCCTGGATGGGAAGCGAAACATTTTCAAACTTGGAAACAGTGGATTTGATCTCCAGTGGATTGTTTTTAATTTTCTTTTTTTTTTTTGGAATAACTATGACCTGGATGACTAAGAACCTTTACCAGCAACTTATTTTAAGAAAAAAAATACCTGTTTAGGTTTCATTTTTTCCAGTTTAGGGTAACCAACTGGTTTAGCTCTTTAGCAAGGCTTCTCACAAAAGGGAGAGAGGGATGTTAGATAAATTGTCAAGCAGGTCTAGTTATTCAATGACTGATTCAGGTTTCACTGTCCCAGCAACCAGTGAGAACTCTGGACCTTCAAAGCCAAAAGGTGTGTCCCCAGTCATTCAGCAGATCTAGGTTCAGTTTTCTGGTGTTGGACTTATTCTTAAAATATTAGACTGATTAAATGTTAACTTTGTGTTACTCTGTGTCTGCAGCAGCTGGTATCTTTTCTGCAGATCGAACCCTGTTTATCAAGTCAGGGTCTTGGAGAAAATCAGTCTTGCAGTTCGCAGTTTGGCCTTACGGTGACATTTTGATTTTACCTTTGAAGGAGTAATTTGATTTTAACAGTTAACCTTAAACAAAAAAGAGGTTGAATTACAATCGACCCTTTTCATTCCCTACAAGTGCCAATAAAATATGAAGCTGTTTGTTGTTGTTTTTTTGTTTTTAACAGCTGATTTAGAGAAGAAAGGTGTTTTTTTAGAAGCTGACAGGACTAAAAAAAATCTTCTCCAGTAACTTCCAGTAAGGTTTGGGTTAATGTGTGCAGAAAGCTCATAAAGAATAACTTTCCACAGATGTCCTCTCTTTAAAACAAAACAACCTACAAATACAGTCTAGGTAATTAATTCTTATTTATCTCTTTTATTTGGGAAGCTGAGCTCAGCTCAATCCCACCCAACCATAGAAATATAAAGAGGAATCCAAAGACAAGAACTTAAATAAAAACAACTCTAAACCTTTGGGTGAAAAAAACAAATATATCTCATTTGTTAAATGTGGAAGTTATGTCCCCCCAGATCAGGTCGTTACAGGACAGAGAAATTGATTGGACCTTTCAGCAAGAATTTCATTGTTTTATGAGATTCATTTCCACTCCTTCCTCTCATGTTTTCATGTTGGACCACCTGGAGAGATTTTGATCAGATACCAGAGTTTCTGACCAAAGCACAACGTGGAGACAGAGTACAACCAAGGTGTCAGTCTTTGCTGCAGTGAGGTTTGGAGACCTTTCTACTTTTCTCACCTGACCGCCATTGTCCTCGCTGTCCTTTGTGAAGATGAACTCTGCTTTGTTTCATCCATTTGTTATAAGCCTTTAAATTCTTGTTCTGTTTGTTAATCTGGAATAACTTAAGCCAACATTTTTTTTTCTTGACTTGTAAAGATCAACACATGATTGCATTGCTTGAATCATACATTCTGATGGGGAGATAGGGCTCAGTGGAAAGTCAATACATGCAACGGAAACAGGAAGTCATTGATTACTGGTTAAAAGTTCTTAGGTGAAACAAATTTTATTTTTAAAAAGTGCTTTATTTGTATTTACTTCATCGGGAGTGCCAGCCGGACAATAAAAAACAACAGTTACTTTAACAATGATATGTAAACACAATGTATTTACTTTTTATACAAAGCACAACATGCAAGTCACTGTATTAGCATTAGCACCAGAGTAAATCAGAGGATATTGAGTCGTCACTTTGTGCCGTCTCCAGGTAGAAGTTGGGTCTCTGTCAACACGGTTTCAACAGCTGCTATGAGAGGTGAGCTGTAGCTCAGCAGTCGGCCATCATAAATTAACTGGTCGTCTCTAAGCTTGGGTTGCATTTCAGCCCTGTAGAGCAAATATACAACCGTTACTCCTTAGCGAAATGTTTTAATCTGTAGATAAAACCTTACATTAACATTCATGGACAAAAAGACTAAAACATCTTTCCTATAGTCGACAGTAAACCTTTTTGTAACATCAGACTTTACTTAAGAAAATGTATTTTTAATGAAAACACAATTTTGTAAAAGCATTGCAAGCCGTTTTCTTTTGATTTATTTTAAATATTGTCCCTTGAATATCGCCACAGTGTTTTAATGCATTCTTGGTAATAGACGAATGCTCCTGTAGTGCTAACTCTGTCCAACCAGAACTGCAATAAGTAACCATTAATGAGCAATATAATAATAATAAGTAGGCAATATTAAGCAACATGTTTCAGTTTAAAGCGTAGCAGAATAAAATAGATGACAATAAAAAAATCACAAGAGCATAGCTGTCAACCTACGGAAGAGGATTAGGGCCACTGGAAAAAAAAAGTTAACTGATTTTAAAATTTCATTTTGGTTTAATATGTGAAAAAAGTCAGAATTCTGACTTTTTTTTCTCAGAATTCTGACTTTAATCTCAGAATTTTGGATCTTAATGTAGATGGGCACCATGAAGGAAGAGATGTGGAGCACTCAGCTTCACTAACAAAGATGTTAGTTGTTTGAGAGGAACAGGAACACATTGGTGGAAAATTATGCAATTAGGCAACTTCTTACATGCCTGAGGGCTCCCCTCATTAATGGAGGAGCAGAAGGTCATTTAAACAAGAGAGCTAGACTGTAAAACAGACATGGCTATGGCTTGATGCTAACATGTTTGTAATCTGTCAG